CAAAAAACATTGCAAACTGTGCGAATAGTAATCAAATGGATGTAAAATGTATGCACATCCTATGGAAGAATGTAACAAAAATTGGGAAACAAAAAATACTAAAGAAATTATTTAAATAACCTAATAATGAAGTCATGTATATATAGATACAGATAAAAGATTAAAACTAACAACTACATGTAAGTACAACAATAATTATAATTAAATTAAACCAAAAACAGATTAAAAAAACAAATACGTACTGCTCATGAATAAGACACTGGAAAATTGAGCCAAAAAATGAGGAAATCCATACAATCCAAGTGCAAATAAAGCCCGAATTACTTGGCGAAAAGTCTCGCATCAGAAGCCTAAAAAATACTTTGTTTAATGTGAATTCTTTAATCATAAGTTAGTAAGATCGCCTAAAACATTTATTACCATGGTGTGTATGAGGCCGCGATGTAAAAATATATAACGACGCGATCACACAAGTGAAGGAGATGTCGAATTCGGCTATTAAAGGGTTGCAAAATGACATGGATGTTAAAAAGGTTTTCAAAGAATGTAAAAAATTAGTCCTAAAGACAAAATTTTCATATAAACTAGACCACCTTTTGTAATAAAACAATGAAACTAAATGAAATATTGTCGAAGTGCTAAAAAGTAGTAGGTTTGCAAATCCATATACGAGAGCGATGAAGGCGTCATAACTGCTTTGAGACTTTTTATAAAGAGTTGTTGTCGCAAAAATACTCATAGGAATCCATGGCAAGTGCGTAATGCAATTGGCTATCTGCTCAATCCGAGTGGGTAAATATGCGCATCCGTGTCTAGCAGGTGGATTTTTTAGCCTAGAAAAAACATTAGTAAATAATATCAATTAAAAACTTACTTAAATAAAAACTTCATGGAAAAAAAAGATAAAAAAGAATAAAGAGGCAAGGGCCATCATCAAATGGCAAAGGGAACACGCGCCAAAATTCTCAAAGCTGTTATGGTGTTAAATTTTTTAAACAAAATACTTAAAAAATGTTTATGTACAGTTACCAAATTAATTTAGACTGATAAAAACAATTTTTTAATTTGAATGATTTAATTGTTTAAATGAAGAACTTTAGTTAAGTGTTTTAAATTATTTGGCTTTATAAAAATTGCAAAAAATGCTTAATTATATTGCGGGCTATTTTTTTTTACAAATTTTAATCAATTGTGACCTTTTGTATTGTCGCAGTCTCTTTTTGTTGTTTAGACGTTCTTTGACCTTGTTTTCGCAACTTGATCATAATGGTAGGAAGACTTATAGAAACGCACCTTGTCCTGAGTACATTATATGCATAATTATTTCCAAAATCGGACCGTGGACGTGGTACATATCCAGACGTTTCGCCGTCATCGTAGTCGACATCCTCAGTGAGTTTTACCATTTGTAGCACTACATTACAACACGTCAAAGAGACAAGTGAAGCCGATCCTTTGAGCAAACATTGCCTATTCACATTTTCTATATCCTCCAATCACGCCTTCACTTTCACAATATTTTACTTGTTTAATTAAATGTGGTCGGTGTGCCCTTTTTTTAGCGGTTTCATGAGAACCATCCGCACTCCACGCTGGCCTTCTCACCTCCCTTCATCCTTGTGCTGGGAATGTTAATCGTAGTCTGCCATATTTTTACGCAGTCCTCCTTCCTTAGGTATTATCATAGTCTCTCTCTTTCCCCGTAACATTGTTTGCCATCTCTGGTTCACATATTTAACTCGACGGTTGTAATGGACAACCGTCGCCCCTCCCTTATCCGCCTGAAGAACTATCTGACCATTCTTTTGTAATTTTTTCCGAATAGCAGCCAATCTGCTCCTGTTTGTCGGTTCTCGGTGTGTCAGGATCCTTGGGACTATTTCCATTACCATCTCCCGCCTTGTATTTTCTGGATACTTGTCCGTTATGTTGACAACTTCCACAAGAATATCACTAAGAATGTTTCCTTCATTACCTAGTGAAAAATGTAACCCCTTCTCTAAGAGATCCGTAGTTTCAGAATCAAGAGGGATTGGATATAGGTTTACTATCTTTGTTCTATCGTCGTCTGTAGCGGTTTGTGCCTTCAATAAAGAACCATCAAAATTTGCCTGGGTCGGCTTGGTCTTGCGCTGTCTTATAATACCATAGCTAAGCAATTTCTTGTTATGCCTCTTATTTATCAGATCCCGAACCCCTATGTGACTTCTGGTCTGTCATGCTTTGGACTTTTTGCAAATCATCCAAAGTGAGAACCCTACCAAGATCCTTCCTTGTGTGTCAACCCACAAACGTTGTTGTTCAACATTGAATCGAGTCAAGGCAAGCATAATCACAACATTTGTGGGTTGGCGCACAACTTTTACGAGTTTTAAGATAGTGCTACCAATGGTAAAAATCACTGACGATGCCAACTACGATGCCGGCGAAACGTCTGGGAATGTACCACGTCCACGGTCCGACTTTGG